GGAGGAACTGCGGAAAATGTGGGTGTGCCTCCATACAGATAATCACTCGAGCATTGGGGCTAATGCCCTCAAAATTACGACTTTCAATCTCCTTTAGGAGTTCCTCAAGAACGCGACAAGTAGCGATGGACTTGTGCGCATTTATAAGAACAAACCATGCCCCCTCATGCATGGCTGCCTTAAACTGCTCGGCGAATGCCTCTGGTTTAGGTCTTAAACGCAATTTTACCCCAAGATCGACTGTGACAATTGGCCTATTCAGCGTCATTGCCACAAGTTCAATCTCAGCAATTGGATTCACTTCATGGCAGACACAAATAACACATGCACCAAGCGGAACCATTTCCACAGCTTGCATGATGCGTCGCCGCACTGTTCCTTCTGAGGCGCGTCTTGATTGTGTATTGAATTCCTCTGGGAGTACGGGTGTTGTTATTTGCTCAAACTCCAGTAGTTGAGGAACGTCACTTTTTCTGTTATATTCAGCTGTGCTCATGTTGTTGTCTGGAGCATCCCCCATGTTCGCCGCCGTGAAGGCGCTGGAGGAGGCGATCGAGCTGTTATCCACCTCCGCCTCAGTCTTGGAGGCCGAGTTAGCAACACTGGGGCTACCGTCAGAACGGGAAGTCGTCTTTGGCGACTTTGAGGGGGACGTTAGAAAGGCGGTCTGCTGAAGCGTCGTTAGAGAGGTATCCTCGTCGGCCAGTTCGCTCATCACCGCATCGCGTGAGGGCTGTCGGGCGAGGGCGCTGACACGACCGTCATAACGCACGCTGCCTTCTATTTTCACCTGCTGCACCGGTTCGTTGACCTTTTCGTACTTCATCGAGACTTTCCGGGACAAATCCCCGGAGAGCAGCACCTCCCGTAGCTCACCGCTATCTGTGACCGTCTGCCCATCCACCTCCACGATGCGAGAGCCAAGGTCCAATTTGCTTGCGATGTCCTCCTCGGCCCCGTTCAGGTGCGACTCGATTTGGCAGTCGGGTGTGACGGAAATGCTGCGCAAAACCTCATCCACCGTCGCCTCTATTGAATTTCCGCGCTCATGAGACATGTGTCAGCCTCAGCGGGGTTTGTCGGCAGCGCACCTCCAGCCCGACGCCGCCCGTGGCAGTCCGCTTTTTCTTCGGCTTTGCTGCTGTGTGAGTATGGGCGCCTTCCCCCCGCTGTTGCACCCCCCGCCTTAACTTTTTGGAGTGAGTTCGCCGAATTCAAATGAACTGCTGCGGCTGCTGCGGCTTCGTCTTTCTCTTTCCTTTGACGTGCGCGTCGTGGGCGGTTGCGCGCAGCAAAGCGGCCGAGCAAAGAAACAGAAGAGAAATGAGCAAGGAGCGAGAGCGGAAAGAGATCTGCGCGGAGGACAAAAAAAAAAGAACAGACGCACACTCGCACACTCGCAGACATGAGCAAAAAAAGAAAGGCCAGGAAATTGCCGTCCGCCCTCTCCCCCGTATACGGGCAACAACGCACCTACAGAAACAGACAAACATGCACGCACTGTGGGAGCCGCCCCTTTTCCTTGAACGGGTATGCCGCAGAAGCAGTGCAAGACAACGCAGAAAAAAAAGCGCCACATACACATGCAAGAGAAGGAAAAATAAAAAGTGAGTGGGAGAAAAAAAAACAGAAAAGTGTTGGTGGGAAAATGCAGTCGCATGTATGCGCATATCTGCATGCACATGAATCTATCTAGGCGCTGTATCTAAATTGCATCCGGTGGGAGGGGGGGGGAGAAGGAGCAGATATGCCTCTACCAACAGGGGATCTCCCTTGGCGGATGGAGAAAAGGTTTGCCCCTGCAAAACCGGAGATGATTGAAATAATAATACGAAAACCCCCAACGGAAACGGCCCAAAGTGGCAAGGTGTGCCACCTGGGCCGTCTTGCATCTAACGTAAGAAACACACGTTTTTTTTCTTTTTTCTTTTTTTTTGTTTGCATGAGGTAGGAGGGTCATGAGACATACACCATAAACAAGCGGAAACAGCAACAACACCAGCGTATCGACAGAAAGTGGTGGAGAAACGCGTCAGCGGGTAATTTCTGTCTGCTGAAATTCCCCTTTCCCCGCCTCTCCCCACACACACACTCACCACACACACCCGCTCAAGGCCCCTGCCATAGCTGCAACGTGGAACAAGTATGGGGACAAAAGCAAGCGGCAAGAGGAAAGACAAACGGCAACTGGAAGGCTGACGACAAGAAAGAAAGTTCCCCCGCATAGTCAGCAACGGCGAGAACGACTACGTGACTTCCCTTCAAGAGAAGGGCTTACGGGAGAAATCGACATACGCCATAGCGCACGTTCAGCATTTGGCCGTAGAGGGACATTTTCCCTACGTCTGCGAGCCGCAATCCCAACAACTGGCTCGCATTCTTTTTCCTCGGCACGTCGCATGCACATCTCTGCCAGGGTCATGTCCTCATCCTGCGGAGCATGAGACACCGTACGGCGGCATCGGCGTGAACTCGAGCGGGTAGTAACGGGTGCAGGAGAATTTGCGTAATTCGCCGCAGCAGCCACATGAGGTACGGCAGCACTAGCAGTTGCATCAGCCCGTCGTCGTCGGACATTTGCGTGTTGCATCAGCTTGCTTCGGACATCTCGCAAGAGGCCCAACGCCCTACGAACCCCATCCGTGAGCTGCTCATTGTTCGGTGAGGCACTTTTTTCGGGGACCACGTAATGTTCCCCCTCGGGACTTTCCTCCGCCGAGGGGAAGATAGTGCGGGCAGTGCGCGGGGTTGGACTACGCTGCTGTACTGGACTCGCGTAGCAGCCGGTCCCCTCACGGGCATTCCCAGGAGACGTGTCTGCCACCAACCTTTCTTTTCCTTGCGGAGGCAGAGAATTGTGGTGACGCAGGGCGGAGCGACTTGTCGGCGGCGTACGGGAATGGGGTGGCTTTAACGAGTCCCGAAGACGGCGTGTACTCTCACAACGAGCCACGTGAACGGCACGTGACATTAGAATTTTTTCTTCTCCCTCTAGCTCTTGTATACGTTGATCTATGTCTGCATCTGTGACATCTGCGCCCATGACGACGCCATTGGGGCGAGGCTGCGGTGAGAGCGACGCGGCGGTGGGGGAACTCGCAGAAACGGAGGCGTCTTCCTCAGCCTTCCGCCGCACTTCTGGTAGGTCAGCTTTAATCATGTCATGTGCCACAGTAAGATCCGCCAATTCTCGCTGCGAATGCTGAAGTTGCTGCTTCAGTTGCTGTAGGGCCGTCTGTTTATCGGCCACGGGAGAAGTGACGGGGCCAAGTGACACAATCACGGGCACGCAGCGTGCGGCAATACGCTCCATGCAAACAGCCCATTCATATTGCACCCGCGATCGTCCGGAGCGTTCTGAGGAGAGAAGCAACTCCAACGGTGTCACGCGACGCTGTCTTGCCTCGTACAGCTGGTACTCCCATCCCGCAAGCTCTGTATCCATTTCGGCATCCCTCTCTTTCACTTCAGCCTCCATACGGGCAATTTTTCCCTTTTTGTTTTCCACCTCCTCCTCTGCCTCACGCTGCCGCTTCCGCTCGTGTTCCTCAATGTCCTTGCTTTGTAGACGCTGTCGTGTAAGCTCGTGGAGCTGGTTATACAACCGCCCCACCTGATCCACCGCCAGGGCATGGTCATGTGCAATGAGAAGCCGCTGGGCATTTGCCATGGCGTGCAATGAATCTGACACCTGACCATCAAAGTGAGTCACAATAGATGACACCGTGTTGCTGGTGTACATGAAGGCATCTCTAAGTCCACGCTGATAGTATGCATCACACAGTTCCCGAAAACCGTGCACCAACTCTTTTGCGCCCGAGTCATATTGATGTGTAAAAAGTGGCGGCATATTGAGCACCATCATGGGATCGTTCTTTATCTTCATGGCACGCTGCGTGAATCGCAGGCTCGAGACGGTTTGCTCAAAGTTTTCATGGGAGGGATTGATGCAGCAAAGAATAAACGTCATTCCGGACCCTCCAATGCAGCTGCGCAAGATGCGAGTGAGTTTTGCGTCACGGTAGGGCACATACGGCCTTTTCTCCACAATGGCATCCACCACATTACCGAGGGTCAACAAACTTTTATTGATGAATCCGCCCTCCCGCAGCGACAGGCCATCTGTATTCGCACGCGACGCTGACTCCGACCCGGCGAGATCCACAAGGTTTATTGTGCTCACCTGCCTGCACGCCCTGTGAATCTCAAAGGTGAGAATCATGTGCGAGCGACTGCTGTGGTCGTTGAGGTTTGTCACGCCGTACTTGCGATTTCGCTCCGCAACGCTCTGCAGCTTCACAAAGTCTTCTATCGTCTCAACAGGCAACGACTTTTTGTCAAAGTACACGCTGCCATCGGGGGCGTCGTGCAGCCCAAGCTCTCCTCGTTGCGGCTCAAGAAGATCCTTCACAGACTCATTGTAAATCTCCGTAAAGTATATGACGACTTGCGTGCCGGGGTATTTCTGGCGAAGATCCAACAACAGCTTCGCCGTGCGGGGGACAAGGCCTGGATCCATCTTACTACCATTCATGCTGTACGTCTTACCACTGCCGGTCTGCCCATAGGCCATTACGGTGACATTTTTGCCGTCGAAGCCGGCGTGCACAAGCGCCTCGATGCCTTGAAAAATTGTGTGGTTCGAGGTGCCGATGTGGTGCACCTTGTTGTACACATATCGTGTGTTGGGGTTGTGCGTGCTGTACAGCACCGTCTCTGCGGAGGACCAAACACCGTTGGGCACATTGGGCCGGATGCGCACGTGAACTTCTATACTCATTTTACCCCGCTTCCTGCTGTGTAATTGTTGCCCCGTGTCCCTCCTTCACCGCCCGTCGCCGCCGTGTTGTTGACGCCTCTGTGGGGGGAGTTCTGTTGTGCGGCTCTTCGCCCTGGCACCACGTCGCCCAGCTGCCGCCGGGCGCCGACGCACATACACACACACAAAAAAAAAAGAAGAGCCATCCGGGCGGAGAGGGCGCGAGATGGAGAGTTGGAGAGAAAAGGCATGGACGCAGTAAGCCACAACAGAAACAGAAACAGAAAAAAAAACACACACACATACACACACCCCAAGCAAAAACACCAAGAACAAAATCGTCATCACGCGTTGTCTTCACACGGCGCGATCAACGCATAAATAATATATATATATATATTCTCAGCGAGCGGCGGATAAAAATACAGACAAGTGCATCCCGCCAAGTAATGCAGAAAAGCCAACAATTACTTAATGTATTAGGTCATCGGAGCGAAGTGCAAAACATCATGTTTAATAAGAAGGAAAAGAGTGAGTGAGCGACGGTGGGCGGCAGAACATCACCCAACCTCACCTCCCCCCACGGCCTGCCCAACAGAGTATTGTACGGCTTCAGTCTGTCGTTCTCCTTCTTGCGTTCTGTTTTTTTTTATTTTTTCATTTTTATTTTTTTTCTGCTTGGCCTCCATTGCAGTGCAAACCGCGTTCTTTTTATCCTCATCCCCCCCCCCCCTTTCTTACACGCTCGCAATAAATGCCTCAAGCAAATCATCCCCTAACCCCCACCCCTTCTTCTCGCACCCCCTTTTTCTTCGTCGATCGCTGCTGCCTCTTATTACCTCACACAGTGTTATCCCGTCTCTCGCATCCACGCAACGAGAGCTCCCTCCCCTTATGATGATGAAGCGCTGCTCTCCCGCGCAAGCACGCTCAATTCCCTCACCACCTCTCTCTCTCTTTCTCTCTCCCCCCGTGCGTTTAATGACCAGTCAATAAGCCACTCCCCTCCGCTGTGCAGGGGCGGCACAATGCAATTAAACGCTTGCACACGCGGCACCGCAACTCTCCCTCAAAGTAGCATTTTCTCATCGCTTCTTCCTCGTGTCCTCGTCCCCCCCCCCCTCTCCCACAGGCCTTCGCTGATGCCGGCGCTGCCAGGCAAAGTTGAGTTGGCGAGAGGAGAAAAACAAGGAATAGCAGAAGCAAAAAGGGCGTCACGACACTTGAGGCATCAGACGAAGGGCAGTGGAAGAAAGAACAAAAAAAAACAGTAAAAAAAAAAGAAGCAAGCGCGCACAAATACACAAAGCCATAGACATCTGGCAAACACGAGGACTTTGCATGCATGCTAGCAGAGAAGTGCGTAGGAAATAGAGAAAAATGCAGATCATCGGGGAGCAACAAGGAGCAAATTTCACTCCTTGAGAGTATTATTATTAATATTATTTTGTTACCTGTGGAGAGAGGAGACAATTTTCTTTGATACCTCACGTTTTTCAACCCAATTTTTTCGCAAAACAAAACAACAACAACAACAACCGCAGACCATCAAGAAGCGATTGCTCTTTTTACAGAAGAGCGAGAGGGGGAGGTAAACAAAACCAAACAAAAAAGGCATTGATGTCTCTTTTTTTTGTCCTACTTGCCTGTACAACAACTTCACCACGGAGTTCATGTGTATTGTTAATTATTATTCTTGTTATTAGAAGGACTGCATTGCCTGTTTCTGCTTCCTTTTTTTTTTATTATTCTTCTTCATCTCCTCGCCCGGGTGGTGGGGTTGTTGCCTGCGTGTGCGTGCGTGCAAGTGGGCGTCATGCGCGCATTCCAGTTATCACAATGTACCCTCACCAACCACGTGTGTGGCAGCACACGACGCACACCTTGCCACTTATCCCCACCCCCACGCACCTTGTCTCCCTCAGGCATGAATGCATGCATACATGCATGTCTCCCCCGCTTCATCATATTCTCTTTTTTTTGTTTGTTTGTTTTTTTCATTATTATTTTTTCTTCCGTTTAGCCACATACATACACGTTTGGTGAGGGATTGATATACATGTACTTCTCTCAAACGAAAGCAAAAGAAGAAGAATAATAATAATACCAGCCGCTGTAGGTCATTTACTTACCCCCACACTGCGCTCTCCAAAGCACTGCCTATTACTTCAGTAAACGTACCATTTGCGTGTGTGTGTGTGTGTTTATTCCTCGGCTCTACATCTGCATTATTACTCTCCCTCACTGCTCGCCACTCTTCAATTACCTTTCGTTCTATTGTTGGGTTTGCTTCGGTTGTTGTTGCTGTTGTCGTTGTTTTATTTGGTTGAGGAGAATTTATATTTATTTTTACTTTCTCAGCCTACCGCAGCGGCGGTGGCGGCGGGGGAGGCATCGGCTGGTACATTGACAGCGCCGGCGACTGCAGCGGCACCGGTGCCGTTGACATATTCGGCGCCGTGATGACCGGCACAACCTGCAGCTGAATGCTCGCCCCCGGCGGCAGCTGGTACGTCTGATTGCCAATGATGACGCTTTGCATGTACGGTGGAGGTGGGGCCACCGGCGGCGAGCCGGTCCGCTGCCACGTCGCCGGTGACGGCTGCGCAGAGTCCCACATGACCGGAAATGGCGGTGGAGGTGCCATCGAGCCGGGGACCGTCGCTTTGGGCACACCGCGAGCGCCGTCCTTTCGCTTGATTGCAAGTGGCCGCGCTGGCCCGGCGGCCTTGTCGCGGGCGGCCAACAGCGCAACCACCGCGCGCTGCGATGATGCGAAGTAGACGCCGCGTGCATCGCACACCACGCGCTTGTTCCATGATAACGCCTTGGACACATCCTGCTCCTCCACCCGCACAAGCACGCAGCCCGCCCTCTCCCCGGACTGCGAATCCACGTAATGCGAGACGTTGGAGGGATGCACCGGGACACTCATCAATGAGAAAACCCATGCCACAAACTCTTGATCAGTTTCGGCCGAAAAACCTCCAACAAAGAGAGAAACAGCCCGCTGCAATGCGGCGGAAGTCGCTGGCAGCAGCTTGCTTACCTCCGCGGTGCCAGGATACAGGTGGTAAATGGGCTCATTCGCAGGTGTTAGCAGCCGTGTTCTGCCCGGTTGGTCGCCACCCCCAGTTAGAGAGCCTGGACCTAGAGGAACGGACAAACTGCTGCGCAGCGATGAGGCGTTACTACACGACGGCAAAGACGTCGACCCCGACCGTGGGCCTAACAGCACTGCGTCATACGGTGGTGGGGGACCTGACAACACATTTTCCTGCTGCATTGAGGCGCTTGCGCTACTACGTGCTCCATGGTGGCCCGCATTACCGTAGGCCCGCTCAATAATGACTGGGTGCGTCGGCCCTCGCGCCCGCCCCTCCGTGACGTCGAGGATGGCTTTGGAGGCAATAAGCTCCGCCATACGCTCCGCGGAAGGTGCCACGTAAACACCCTTTTCTGCACAAAAAAGGCGTTGATTCATGGCCAAAAGCCGTTCCACCTCTTCTTCACTAGACACAAACACCGAGGCGCATCCAGTTGGCGCGCCACTCCTTCCTCCTTTTGCCTTGCGATGCACAAGAATGGAACTAGACGGCAGCCGCACTCCACAGGCAACTTCAAAAATCCAGCCAATCATATGTCTACCTACATGAACCACCTCAAAGCGTAAGCCCCCAATAAACATTTTGGTGCCATGATGATGACTTGAGGAGATGCCGCCCTCAGATGTCTGGTCATCCGTCAGGTTCCGCCTGGGAGGGTGCGCCTTAAAGTAATCCGGTGTTGGGTACTGGTAGAACTCCGTGTCAAGTAGCACCATTTTGTCTATTCCCTGCATCAGCAAACCCAGATACGCCTCATCTTCAGCATTTAAAACTGACTCCCGCCCATCACTCGCCCCGTCAGCAAAACTGCACGCTACTCCTCCCTTCTCTTGGGCGGTACCCTCCTTCCTAGGCCCCGCGTCATCCAGCCGGTCCCTGCCCTCCTGCGCCTCAAAGTCCAGCACGGGGCCCGAGTCAAAAATAAGCTTCATTCGGTTCTCAAAGGCGCGTGTGGCGCACGACTCAGAGCTCGCCAAGCTGCCGCCGCTGGAAGGGTAGTCCTCCGAGCCCTCGGAGGAGTGTGCACAGCTCGCGGTGTCCCGAAACAGCATCGCCGCGCAGAAGAGGGCTACGAAAAAGGGAAGAAACTCAAAAAAAAATGTTAGCGTCACTTTCAACTCTTCCTTCGGAGCAAAGACAGTAGGGATAATATAAATGCGTCTGCGCACTTCACCTACGCGTCTCTTATCGTTCCCTACCTGTTTTTGTAGAGATGGATACCTTCTGTGAAAGCTTCGAGTCGCAACAAGAAGTGCGTCGCCCACTGGTGTACTCCTACACGGCGGAAAAAAAAAAAATAATAATAATAATAAATGGTAATAATAGTAAACAGGGAAGAGGCAGCGTACATGTAGCGGAAAGATAAGTACGGATGCAAGTGCGTGTGCAAAGAATACGTTCCCCCTCCCCTCCCCTCACTCGCTCTCTCTCTCTCCTTCTCTCTATTTCCTCTATCCCTGTGTCCAGTAGTATCACACACTAACCACACAACAAAAAAAGGAGAAAACAGCAACGTTTGCCTA